GTAACATACCAACCTGACGTTTCTTTTGCTGTTTAGTATACAAGACAGTTCAACCACTCCACGTAAATTATAAATAAACAATCATATGGAATATAATATTTGTAATAACTCGCACAATGAGTCGTAGCAAGGCGTGCCATTTCGGTGGTCCACATCATCCCGTGATTAAGCCCTGTTCGCGCATTGTATACATGTTTAAGTTACGCAATGGCTACGCAATGCGCGGCAAAAATGGGCCGCATTGGTAATCATTGAGACGCAATGGCTCTATTTGTTTACAGAGGGTCACGGTGGCTAAGTGAGTAAGACACTGGCTCGCTAACCTGGAGGTCGGGTGGTCGATCGCTGCATTGGCCGAGAAAGTTCATCCAGATTTTCCGACGTGGTTCCCCCTTGTCAGTGATGGAGAACGGAGGGCAGGGCCTGACATGAACAACTGTCTAGTAGTTCGGATTGGACGAAAAACCGAGGTCCAGTGTACACATTGGTGTGCTCGTTAAAGATCGCTTGACAGTTTGAATTCGATACAAGAGAAGACCGTAGTGCCGTTGACGGACAAATTTCCCTCATAGCACACTGTATGGCGTATGCCCGTCTTCATTATACCATGCAGTTCGGAGCAGAACAGTAGGATGTTAAACCCCATTTCATTTCTATTTGTTTACGCATTGGTTAACTATTGTTCGCGCATTGTTCATGTCTGCTGTAACGAATTGTCCCGTTAAAATTTCAAAATTCTCTCTACGTCCAGGGATCGCCAGACTTTTTTCATAGTTGGTCAGATATAACTGTCATTAAGTCACTCCCGTGGTTTCGATTCCCCAGGGGGGGTTGGATGGCTGAATGGTTAGCACGTGCGCGCTTTATCATAAAGCCTGTCATTGAGTCAACTGGCGTGGTTTCGAATCCCCGGTTGTACGTGACAAAGAGTAGGGTCGTCTGTCCAACCTCGTGGGTTTTCTCCGGGTCCTCCGGTTTCCTCCCACTGCTAAAGACCCCTACGCGCAAGCGAATTATTGAAATAAAATTAAACCATATGTTAGTCCCGAAATGACCTAGTTTGTGTCGAGTGGACGTTAAACCCCATTTCTCTCTTTCTCTCTTTCGATGCCCCTGTTGTACGTGACAAGGAGTAGGGTCGCCTGTCCAACCTCCTGGGTTTTCTCCGGATCCTCTGGTTTCCTTTCACTGCTAAAGACCCCTACACGCCAACGAATTATTGAAATAAAATTGAACCACGTGTTAGTCCCGAAATGACCTAGTTTGTGTTGAATGGACGTTAAACCCCATTTTATGTGACAATAAAATATGTTTAATTATAAAAGCAAGGCGCATTGATGACGAAAATGCTATTTTTTCAATATGTATCGGGAACACTCTATTTCTATATGTACAGTCAAATATTTGATAAATAAATACGTGTTATATGATATTATACGCATCGTTTCACAACTTCAATATACTATACATTCACACTGATTTCAGAGTGAGTATGGGCGAACATACAGACAGTTGCGTATCTACTCCACAATGAATATCAACAAAATAAGTAATATAATGCATAAGAAAAATACACTGAGCGCCCCGGTAGACCAAAGATCGTGTTGTTTATATAGTTGTTCACTGATGTTATCTCGCCCCCTTTAAATCTGTACCTGGCGACAGAGCAAAATACAAACTTAATTTAACCGCATGATGAATAGTTGTAACATACCCTACATGTAACCTAGGTTGGTAATGATCTTATAATGGTAATGATAGTTGTAACGTACCCTACATGTAACCTAGGTTGGTAATGATCTTCTACTGGTAATGATAGTTGTAACATGCCCTACATGTAACCTAGGTTGGTAATGATCTTATAATGGTAATGATAGTTGTAACGTACCCTACATGTAACCTAGGTTGGTAATGATCTTCTACTGGTAATGATAGTTGTAACATGCCTTACATGTAACCTAGGTTGGTAATGATCTTATACTGGTAATGATAGTTGTAACGTACCCTACATGTAATTTACGCTGGTACTGGTAACGGTAGTTGTAACATATCCCACATGCGGACGTTTAACCCCATTTCTCCCCTACATGATTATAATGGTTATTATATTATGTTCATACAAGCCAGAGTAATATGACTGTAGAAATTATTTGGAATATGTAGGATAATATGATTGCTGCACCCAGATTACACATATCGTTTCATAACGTGATTGTCGTAACTTGATAATATTTACCTTGACCTAGTTATCATATTTTACATTTAAAGATGAATAAACATGATAGTAACACAGTTTTAGTCGACAAGATAACTAAATGTGACGACACGGTGTTTTAAATGGGGGGAGGAGTAGATAATTGTGTCCTATAGTCTATGGCTCGTTTCAAGGAATAACAATTTTTTTTTTAAATTCATATCAAATTCTATGTTTTGTACCCGTTTTTTTTACCTGACCTGATAATATTCCATGTTAATTTATCATATTCATATTAGTTAATTTCCCTGAGAAAGTCCATTTATACTGTTGCACTACTTTATAATTTGGATTTTATGGCCCTTGAATTTAAATCTCATTATTTTATGACACAACAGCGGAACCAGATAAGTATTTACATCGGAACAGAATATCAAAGTTACATAGATACAACATGAACTAAACTACATCGGGAACTAGACTACGACAGGAACACATATAACACTATTAAATCCACCATTCCACCAAAGGCAGCGGCTGAACTCGGGTGAGTCCATGCACTCGTCCAAGCCTCGCTTGTCCTTCCCGGTCTGTCTGTCTGTCTGTCAGTAAACTCCTGATTATATAGCACCGGAGAATAGATAAGACTCATGATCATACAGGAAATTGTCTCTTTATCACGTCATGGTATGCTTACTGACCACTGCATATTCCGTTGATGTCATGTGGAGCTTGTACACAGATCATATGTATTTTGCAAATGACATATAGGATTAATTACATGATTAATTAGATGATAGCCAGTTCGTGCCTTAAAGTGCACATAAGATGGGTCTGGAAACTTTGAGATACGTGTAGCCAATGGTTACTATATCCACTTTACGGCAAGTTCACACCAATCTGATTGAAATTAATTCAGCTATCTTCACTCAAAGTCGCAAAAATTCGAAAACACTCTTAATTTAATCCCCTCAGACGCCAGTGACGTCACAGTGACCGAATGCATATTCGGAATGTTTGTTGTTGTTTGTTAGTTGTATTTTATGTCCGCTTCCACCGAGGTGATATCGCAGACAATAACATGTTATGTATACAAGGTGCAATAATTTACAGTGTGATTAGTGAAAAAGAGGATAATTAGGTTTTTATATATATGTACAGAAGACAATAGATAACAGCAAGAGACATGAGATAACAGGTGCAAAGAATAAAAAGGTGCCAGTAGACGTTTACAAACAGACGAATTTGTAACAAAACAGACATGAATGTGGACGAACATTTGGACAGAGACAAACATTTAGACATAGTATATATATATATATATGTTTAGGTCGTTTTCGTCGGTCTGGTCGATTTGTCCGGTTGAATGGCAGGGCGGTGCAACTCTTCCTTTGGGATTCTTGGTGAGTGTAAGGCCTGGACCATTCTTCCTTCCATTTGGTTTTGTTGTCCGGTATGGTGGTTGATTTCGTCATTATTTCTGTTGTTCATTCCTTTGTTGTTGGTCCTCTGAAGGAAGAATCCAGCACCTGAAAAGAGAGAGCTAGAAAAAAAAGAGTATCTGGTCTTACCATGGTTTTGTTTTTATTTCGTCTAGTAAGGCTTCGGGGGGGGGGGGGGAGAAAGAAATGCATTTATGGCATGTTAGTACGGAAGCGTAATAGGGCCACATATTTTTTTATTATTCTATTTTTAATTTTTCAAGTTACTAACTTGAATTTTCAAGATACTAACTTGAATTTTCAAGATGATCTTTTAGAGGTATTTAGTATCTTGAAAATTAAACTATAGCACATACTTATGGAAGAATTAATTTTAATCAGATTGGCGTGAGCTTGCCGTAAATTGGATATAGTAACTATTGGCTACACGTAGCGAAAAAAAAATTGGCCATCTTATGTGGTCTTTAACAGAAGTTTATACAGAGTTGAAAGGTCACTATCAAATATTATCAAAAACCAGCTGAGGTCTTAAAGTTCTTAGCACCTAAATGATCGTTTAATTTGATGAAAGTTATATAGTACCTTGCTACAATAGCTACAAACGTAAACGTTGAATAATGGCCACGTTTTCGCTCTTAGTTCAGAAATGGCTCAATAGGCATACTTCTTGGGCCATTGCTTCAGGAATACGGATACATCGTTGATGCTAATCCTTGAAGATTTTATTAATTATGTTAACATTAAAGTCACCTAAAATTATAGTTTTAATATTTTGTTCTTTGGCAAGCTCTAGTGCCAGTATTTCAAATTTGCCGTTGGGTGGGTGTCTGTCATTGAGTCAAGAAACGTGGTTTAGATTCCCCGCTTGTATGTGACAAGAAGTAAAGTCGTCTGTGCAACCTCATGGGTTTTCTCCGGTGTCCTCCCATATAAAAACTTCTGTCTCTTATTTCGCCGTCACTGCTAGAGACTCCTACATGCAAGAGAATTATTGAAATTAAACTGGATCATATTATCTTAGTCCCGAAATGACATAGTTTTTGTCGTGCCTCTATATTTATGTAATATTATTCAAGATCGTTATCCGTTCATTGGAGTAACTACTAACTAAATGGTTGGTTAATCGAGTAGCTACTTAAATTTACGCAGAACTATTTAAAATATTTGTATATTTAACACTTGTGAACTATACACTATAAATATAGTTTAACTGTACACTGAAGTTTGAGGTGTGGTGAATGTCGACCAGGTATAATTGGGCGATGTAATGATAACAGCCAATGATATATGAAAGTCAACCCGTTTGACTACTTCTATGCATATTGTTAGCAGGTCTAACAAACTCATCTTACATAGAGACGTCTGGTCCACTGAGTTGTAACAACTAATAAGGCTTCAATTCTATTTTGTTATGAAATCTATTTGAATCAGAGATATTTTATGTTTATCTACTATTTATAAGGTATGTTATATATATAATTACTTCCCTTGTTTGTCTATAATTATATACTGTTCTCTCTTCTTCTGTTTTATTACAGAATTATATTCATATATTATATAATCCTGTGTTGATATTTCGCTTAGAGTAATTATAATAAAAAAGCAGTAATATGTCCCGCTTATACTTTAAATTATGAAAAAAACACCTTGTTTCATTGATATTTTCTTCTTTCATTTCAGATTTACTGTTAAAGACTACGATAAATCAAGATAATTCACAATGGCTCAAAACCGAATGGCGGAATCTGATTATCAGATTCTAAGAAGGAATTATTCATATTTATTAGAGAATTTACAAGCTAAAAATATAACAGCACATCTCTTCCAATATGACGTCATAAATCCCGACGATCTGGAGGAAATTAGACTTACAGAAGAAAATAAAGGACGAAGATCCGGGGTTGAAATTCTGATAAGAAAATTACGATGGTGTGCTGGGGATTCGTATAACCTGTTTATTAAAAGTCTGGAAGTAAATGGCTACCATGAAATAGTCCAGACTTTAAAGGTAAGTCAATTATGTTAGAATATTAGATATTATTAAACCAATTAATTAGAACAAGTGGACTGTATATTTAGATAATGGATCAAAAACATTGGCCACGTGTCTAATAATTGTCCTGTAAGTTTCATATGACAAGTTGTCAAAGCCCAGTATGAGTTGGATTGATTGTACTATTGTCTTTAAACATTTTATTCTAAATATATTCACAAGTATTCATCAACAACGTTCTTTAGTGTATAAACAACAATAATTTGTAAAACCTGTGGTAGAATGGAGATGGACATAGGCCTACATCATAGGCCTACATCATGCAGTGTGATATGTGAGACATGTTGCCTTGACAACGGCGCTACGGCCTACTTTTATATCGAATTCTAACTATCAGGAGTTCTCATACGGGTATACTGACATATACACGGGACCTCGTTTTTTCGTCCCATCCGAACGACTAGACAATGTACCTTGATCTTCCATACTGCACTGGTAGAATTACTGGGCTGACAGTAATTATGAATAAATCAGTTTAACCAAATGTCAGACCCTTCATTTGATTTTGTGGTTTATAATCAATCTAAGGTAAACCTGTCGTTATTAATTAATAAAAAAAAACAATTTAATTACATACAATAAATTGTTATATTTACAGACAGACGATAAATTAGGTGAAACTCAAGCAGAAACTACTAGAAAAACTTTACCTCTTGAACAAGACAAACAATATTGTAGAAAACACAAGAATGAAGAAATAGAAGTTTACTGTATGGATTGTAACCAACCATGTTGTGTGGTTTGTCGCCAAGTATGTCACAACAACCATAAACTAACTGATTTACATGAAGCTGAAGAAAACTGGAAAGGTCAATTCCTTAAACTTAAAACAGAATCTGATAAAAAGATAAAACAACTACAAGAACATTCTGACTATTTAAAGGCTAAAATATCTGACCTAAAAAACTCTTGTCAGACCGCGTGTGATAATGTTGACAAGAATGTTAAAAACATTTGTGATCAAGTAACCGTGTTAGGAAGTGGAATAAAAGATGATATTATCAAAGTGAAAAATGACGAAATTATGGAATTAAACAATTTCATACAGGAAGCTGGCAGGATGACATCTAAAATGAAAGATTGGTGGGATTATTCTGATCGTATGTTATTACAAAGTTCTTTAATTACATGTCTGGACAAACATAGCATGACAGATGTTCAGACCAAAATAAATCACGATATTTCATCATATGTACAAAACCCTGTGATACGACATCCATTTTATGACATGGTGAAGATTGACGTAGAATCATTAAAACAACAAATGAATAAAATGACAATCATGGATAGTGCAACTTTTACCAGTAGTTTTAATGTAAATCAGATACTGGAGACAGACGTTTACTACCAGGTTGGTGATGTAATGATACAAGGAATGCCATGGTATGTAAGTGTTAAACGTCTTACAGATACACAAACATTGGGTGTTCACCTATGGTTGAGGAAGGTAGAGGATAAAACAGTTAAAGCTGTTACAGCTGATTATACATTTAAACTGTTAAATATAAACAATGTTAGTAAACATATAGTATATAGAGGTACAGGAACATATAAACCTGGTGATCCAGGATGGGGTTGGGATGGCTTTATAGACTGGGATACACTCATTAATCCTGATAATGGTTACCTTGACGACAGCGGTATGTTCACACTACAAACAACTGTCAAAATAAATAAAATAGATAGAAATTAATCTGAACATACAAACTAAATAAAACGTGATATTAACTCGTACGTGATATTCAGTTAGATGGAAATTTTATGTGAACCGGAAAAAAGAAAAAGAAATTATGTGAACGCAGATAAGACGTGTTGTTTATTGTAACATCAAGTTAAGACTAACAAACTCAATCAATCGGCTCATGTTGATAGCAAGGACAGTTGCCTAGTCATTCGGATGATACAAAAAACCGAAGTCCCTTGTATACATTGATGTGCTCGTAAAAGATTCCTTGACAGTTAGAATTCGATATAAGAGTAGGTCATAGTGCCACTGCCCGGGCGACATTTCCACCATAGCACACTGTTTGGTGTATGCCCGTCTTCATTAGCCCTGATGGTACGGAACAGTAGGACGTTAAACCCCATTTCATTTCATTTCATTTTATGTTGATAGAGAATATTTCCAGCCAAACGGCACGAAATTCTCATTTGCTGTTAAAATGGAGAAATGAGAATGTCGTGATTAAGTATGTTTTGAATAAGTTTATTTCAGAGCAAATTTATATGATGAAATGACACTAACATTAGGTTACAATGTTCCTTCCTATAGTCCCGGTGCGTCTTTTCAGCGCTACTTGAACCACATGCAGTATTTACAGAGATATATGGAATTCAGATTTCATCGATTTATGCAATACCCCCATCGCCAAGTTGTTGTCCGCGACAATTCATTGATTGGTTGGATTTTTTTTTTTAATGGATCCAAACCGGGACATTATCAGGCGTCAATATTAGATAATAAATCATAGTACATATTAGATAATCAATCATAGTAAGATAATCAATCATAGTACATATTAGATAATCAATCATAGTACATATTAGATAATCAATCATAGTTCATATTAGATAATTAATCTGAGTACATATTAGATAATCAATCATAGTACATATTAGAAAATTAATCTGAGTACATATTAGATAATCAATCATAGTACATGTTATATAATCAATCTGAGTACATATTAGAAGTTGCAAGAAAGACGCAAGAAATTTGATAATTTAGGGAAAATGAGCCATTGTAACATTAAATCTGGTTATTTTATGACACTAAAATAAAATATATATTTTATATACATGTATTTTAGCATTATTTTGTAAATCATCTTCCAGTATAATATTTTTGCATCACGGTTTTGTGTGAAGTAAATAGTTTTGATAGTTGAAAAATGGGATGATTTTGATCCCCTGCTTGTAAGTATCAAGATGGACGGTACTCTCTCCAACCTCGTGGGATTTCTCCGGATCCTCTTGTTTCACCCAACAGCTAAAGATCATTACTAACCATATGTTAGTCACGAAATAACCACGTTTCCTTCCAGAGTCTAGGTTGTTATTCTGTACTGTTCATTCCAACAGTGTCTACTGTCTTGCCTCATGGGTTTTCACCAGGTACCCTGGGTGCCTTTCCCGGCGTGTAAGCGAATTAATGAAATAAAAGTTACAAAATGTTAGTCCCAAAATTAACCCAGTGAACACATGCTCTTAGTGACACAGCAGTATCTGATAGTCAGAATATTTTTATTATATTTCCTAACAAAGTTTTATTTTAAAAGTTATTAGTATGACTTACGATTTATCTATCTGTTTGGGGCTTTGTTTTCAGAGTGCGACAGAAAACCATATACAATAATCATCCCAGAATTAGAAATAGTTTTACTCAAAAACTAGAAGCTTCTAATGGGAGAGATAAGATGGAAAGCTGTAAAAGTTATCTCCCTTTAAAACTGAATACTTTTAAGATGTCGAGAGCCACAGTCGGTCAGTGAGTAAAACACCGGCACACTAACCAGGAGGTCCTGGGTTGTCTCCCCCTTTTGGCCGAGAAAGTTCACTAGATTTTCCACTGTGGGTTTTGGTTGTTAGTTGTTTCTAGGAAGATGGCGTTCCAAGGAACGACAATCTGAATAAAACACAATGGATCCAAAATTTCGTTTTACTTGTCTTCACAACGCTAGGATCTGGAAGAGTAGTTATTTAACAGGCGTTCTGCTTGATGTGAGGAATTTAGCCATTGAAACGGTCGGTTACGACGAGTTCTTGGCGTGCCGTGTACGGAACTGTGGGAAAACCAGTCGTAACGTCAATGCTGATTGATTAATCAATGTCTGACGTCATAGTGTCAAACGGCGCTCACATGACCACTAACACGACCTCTCACTACAACTGGTCAGATCTTCATGTAAAAGAGGTCGTCGAAAGTATAAAAAACGAAACGAAATATAGATCTGTATTTTATTCAGATTGAAGGAAGGGTGTCTAGTCATTCGGATCCCGGTTGGAGCAGAAAGTAGGACATTAAGCCCCATTTCATTATGTTTTGTCAAAAATATTGTGCTGAATTTGAATTTGAAAGGATGCCAAACTCCCCTCGAACCACTATGTCTCGGGGCTATGGTAATGGCCCAGTAACCAATATTGTCTGGGAAGATGTATCTAATGGTGTTGTGTTCTTGCATCACTGGCATTCCCAACCTCGTGGATTTTATCTGGATCCTCTGGTTTCTGTCCACTGTTAAATATCTCTCTCCATTTTCCTCCTATATCTTGATGTACATTTCTCCAGCATTTTATTAGTTGCATGGTAAACTGTAGGCTGTCAGTCACTCTCACTATTAGTGGTATTGAGTTTTACCTTACAAGGCACTGATGCCGGGGTCAACTTCAGGATTCCCCGAGTCTGAAAGTTCCTGATGATAGGGCGCTCAGTCTTAAAAAGACCCTTGTTCCAGTTATAAACGGACCCTTGTCAGTGGGTTCAGTCGCAAACAGGCCCTAGTTTAGATGGCGCCATCGAAAACAGACCCCAGTTAGTTGGTCCAGTCGTAAACAGGCCCTTGTTAGTTGGTCCAATCGTAAACAGACCCCAGTAATTTGGAATTTGATGAAGAGTAGGCATCAGAGTAAAACTTCCATCATTAGTCTTTCTCTCCGCATGCCATTGAGTTGACCATCTCAATGTTTTTCTAGGTGAGGTCAAAATAACCCTTCTGATCCTTCCGCCTGAAAGTCATGAAAAATCATCACAACCTGACAGAAAATGTAAATTCAAACACATGTCTTCGATTCTGGACCATAAAAGTCAACAAAGAATTGCCATTCAAAAGTGGGGAAATCGAGAATTCCTATTACATTAGTCTTATACCAAAAGATGATTTCAAAATGTAGTTACCTCCCCTTTAAAGCGTGTTATCATACCCCCCCCCCCCCACACACACACACACACACACACTCCCAATTTCTTGAATGAAAATGTAAGAAATTCATCTGGTGTAAATATTTAATATCATCAAAGTCATAAACTGGATAAATGCACATTCATTTATCATTTTGTATATTTTACAAATATTTAATATAAGTTTTTCAAAGATTGTCTATAATGTAAATTTTTTATAATAAAAACTTTTATTTGTACAAGTACATCAAACAATTATTTTCAACCTGTTTTTTTATAATCAGGACATTATTTAGTATTGTAAGTAATAGGTTGAGACAAATGCCCAACAGCTGAAAAAACAATTCCCCCACTGTTAAGTTACCTAGGTGTATTTATAAGAATAACAGGTGAACATATGGTAAATATACTTAATATGATTATATTTTCATTAAATAACAGTTTTTTAAAATTACTAGGACCATTTAAAAAATGACAATAATACGGGTGGTAGAGTCGGGGATACAATACAAAGAAATGAGACAAATTGTTGGCCGTTTAACGATACTGTAATTTTATTGACTAAGCAATATGTTTATTTTAAAAAACTGTTATAGTTACGGTCGTTGATAACCTAGTAATTTCCTAAAACATCCACTGCATTAGTTGTTGTTTAATGGGGTTTGAAAAACTAGTATTCTCCAAAAATATTTGATTTATTGTAACGTGCGAAGATCTATGTGACTAAAATAAATACATCAGTAATAACAAAGTTATGATCAACATTTGTCAACATTCTGCATCCATTACAGACGATGTTAGTAGGATATAGCCATAACAACCTAGCACCATCTATGGTTTTCACTAAACTCTTTGAATCTGTTTTCTGATACAATCAGATTATATATCATTGAATATTGTTTTATTAATTTAAATGTTTAATAATCTATTTTAATACATTTTAACATGGATTAAACTGTAGAAAATTTGATAGACCTCTACCAGAATAAAATTCCATCTGTAACTAAAATCATTCATTCTAAACAAAATAATGGCAATTACCCGCGACAAAGTTTGAAAATCCTGAAGGATTTCGTAACAGTTTCTGAAGGAAAATTTCATTTCATACAAAAGTGAAGAAAAATAATTTTCGGTTTAATTTTTGCATACATCAACCGCTATCAACCGCTAGAAAGAATTGGGTTATTCTAACATCAGCATCAGGAAGTCTGAGAAAAATAAAAATACTTCCAGATCTTATATTCTAGTAAAAGGAACTTATCCATAGTCTGCTACTGGTCAATATTGGATTTATGCTTATTATTTTATGTATGACGTCACGGGTCATAATTTGGCTATGTTTTTGGGGTTTTTTTATTCTTTGGTACCACTTTCCTCTCTACCCGTAACACATTTATACACTCTAAACCAAGGGTGGCGAACATTTTTCAGAACGTGTGCCAATATTTTCAATTTGATAAAAGTGCATTTTTTTTATTTTAGCATTTTACTTGAATTTGTTATTTGATTTGTGTTTACTGGAGTCTTAGGTGCATACAACATAGCAATTGGTCCAGGGGCATACAACAGTGGATTTGGTCCAGGGGCATACAACAGTGGATTTGGTCCAGGGGCATACAACACAGGATTTGGTCCCGGGCATCACCAAACCTCTGCACGTCACTCTACCTGTACATTAAATGTAAAATGAAATGTAATAAAATGGGGTTTAACGTCCTACTGTTCAGCATCGACTGGGCTAATGAAGAAGGGCATAAGCCAAACAGTGTGCTGTGAAGGCAATTTTGCCTGGACAGCGACACTACGGCCTACTCTTATTTCGAATTCCAACTGTCACGGATTGTTTTAAGTGCACGCTAATTTGTACACGGGACATCATTTTTCGTCCCATACGAACGACTATACGTTGTTCCTTACAATGCCCTCCGACATACACCTCTGACAAGGGGCGCCACGCTTACAATAGATGTAATAATCAGTAACAATAAACATGAAAGGTGAATTAAGTCTAGGGGAGATAACTCGTCTATCCATGTCAACATGAGAAGAGAGAGAGAGAGGGAGGGAGAGAGCGAGATAGAGAGAGAGAGGGGTTAACGTCCACGAGAGAGAGGGAGAGAGAGAGAGAGAGATTTGAGGGTTATTTCGGGACTAACATATGGTTCAAAATTATTTCATTAATTCGCTTGCGCGTAGGGGTCTTTTAGCAGCGGGAGGGATCCGGAGAAACCCACGATGTTGGACAGGTGACCCAACTCCTTGTCACGTACAACCGGGGATTCGAAACCACGCCAGCTGACTCAATGACGGGCCTTATGATACCGCGTGTACACGCTAACCATTCGTCCATTCAACACCACCGTGATGAGAAACCATTGTAATTACAGGCCGTAAGTACTCTTTTCTCTGGGTTATTGCACGCAAGTAATTATGCCAATAGATACAACGAGGTTTGATTTTAACACAGAAGTGACACGTCTAGAACGTAGACTTTCAGAAGAAAACCCTATTATGCTCTATACTGATCACTGGGCTGAGCAAAGCCATACAGGCTCTATAAATGTTGGGGGGGGCAGACCCTGAAATGCCCCAAAAAATTAATTTCGGGTTATAGATGGTGGTTTCGTTCGGCTGCGAGAGGGGAAGGAGCAGTGCGTACCGTGTAGCCCCCCCCCCCCCCCCAACCCTCAAAGATAATATGGAAAATTTGACGCCGCAGACACGTTTTCCTGACGCGAATCGTGATAGTGGGATATTGGATTAAGACGGTTGTATTAACATCTTCTATTTCTATGTAACACCTCACTGGTTTGCGCAAATAAAATTAATTGTCAGACGATTTATGCCCCTATGTTTAAAAATAAAATAGCTATTTGAGTAACGCCCTTGTTGAATAATATGAAGAAGACGATGAATGAAAGTGTATACGTGTAATAAATGAATTCATTATACATTTGGAGCGTGACGTGATTTTTGTGTTTTTTAATAAGTAGTCTTTTATGAAGGTGTTTCACGTTTCACAGTTGTCCTTGTGGCAAAATAAAATAAGAAATATCAGATAAATCTATGCATTAAATGGTCCCGTGATGCATAGGCGTACGAGCTCGATAAATGTTTGAAAATTTATCTGCAGCAAACGCATTTTCCTGCTAGACCAGCCCGTGAATACAGATACTTCAATGTGGTCCAATATAGTCTACCTTGGGTGACTTACCTAAATCCCAAATCCCAAACATCCAAGCAATCGTCGCGAGGTATGGGAGCCTCGCGCTCTAAAGAATATTTTGAAAATTTAACCGCAACAAATGCATTTTTCTGCTATTCTAGCACGTGAATTAAGCAACTTAAAAGTTTCCAATCGGTTTTGAACCCTAATCCCACTGTATGCCGACCTGAATTCCAATACACCATTTATTCTTTGAATGGCATTTAGTAATTGGAACATAATCAAAAACACACTTTTATGGAATAACAATTACTATGGTTTATTTTACTGAGACGTTTCAACAAGATTTCACACGTCGTTATCAATCATATACACAAATAGATAACAAAAAAGAGAAAAAAATGAATACATATATATACAAACATCAGTGTGAACTATCCAAAGGAATGCAAGGAGAGTGAACATGAGTAGCTATCACAAGCTATTGATGTAACAAGGATTACTAGGATTAGCTCATTATACAATTAAAAGATGAAACATGGGATTACTGAGATTATCAAATATTGAAACCATACATATTATACCATAACTGAAACCATTATATACTATAAATAACTAAATAAAAATTCAAAAAGATGGGGGTTGGGATGGCCTGGTGGTCTAGAGTGTCACGCTTCGACCTCTAGCTGGCCGGTCACCTCTGGCTTGCGGCTGTGGTTTCAATCCCTGGTGTGAGCGTATGTGGCATGGAGATAGGGGCGCCTTCTCAACCTCGTGGGTTTACTCCGGGTACTCCGGTTTCCTCCCAAACGAAAGACCCCTGCGCGTGCGCTAAGATCATGAAAATAAAAAAAAAAGACAACTTGTCTGCGATATCACCTTCGGTGGAAGCGGACGTTAAACACTAACAACAACATCAAGAAGATCAAACTGAGAATGATATCGAAACCATAATCCTTTCATTGATTATAACAGTTAAGAAATATATAATTGTATGGTTATGTTTTATAGTTTTAACTATAAAAGTAATAAGTTGCATATATGTATTTACAAGGTAAATATATATCAAAGGTTTGAATAAAATATAATATATTATGATCAATTGAACAGAATGCCCTATGATGAACACAATTTAAATTAAAATTGTGAGAGGTCAGATACTGTAAATAAGTTACATAGACATAAAATACTGTGATTAGCTAAATAAATTATAGAAAATAATTGAAACATGCAAATTTTCACATATTGATAACATAGGATTATAAATATGAGGGTTGTGGTATGGAATATACAATAGATTCGGTATTGGATAATGCCAGAAGTTTAAATATGGTTTTGCATGAGGAATTACTTTAGAGGTACTGTGTTTACAATTTAATGATGCGGTCATATGCTCTGGTGATATAAACACCTGGGTCTCGATTCAGTTTCGGTGGTAGTCTGAAGGCTCAGTGCGGAGGGGTGTCCATCAAATGGGCACAAAACCAGACTCAACTTTTCTATAGTAAAATTTCGCGTAGAATACGATACCAAGTGGTACTCAGTTCGCCGTTGTTGCGTTTTCGAGATATTCGGTGCCAAAGGTCAAATGAGTTCATGTTACATAATACTCCTATAAAGTATCAGGGAGAAATTCTGAACATGGCAATATATGTAATTATGAACATTTATTTTCTTTCTGAAATTGACAACGTCACATTTAACATTTTGAATGAACTGCTGCAATGTTTGTTCTGTGGCGGTTTGCTTTGACATGTTGCATTATCTATTTATTTTTCTCGATCCTGCAGAACGTTACAGAAGATAAGGAACTATATCATTTAAAGAATAAACTTGGATGGTTTCTTGTTGATATTGGGGAATAGGACGCAGCTATAGAAATATTAGAAGTTTTATTGGACCAATTGGAAAATGAGTTTGGTAATGCATCCAGGGAATCGGCGGATCCGTTATATGCTATGCTCACTCTTTGCTATAGAAGGGGTAAGGATCGCGTTTATTTTCTATTCTTGGGATTGTCTACTCGTTCGCATGTGACGAAAAACCAAGGTCCCGTGTGTACGTTGGCATGCAGGCAAAATATCCCTTGGTATTTGGAATTCGATATAAGAGTAGGTCATAATGCCGCTGCCCGTGCAAAATTTCCCTCGTGGAACACTGTGTGGCGTATGTCCGGATTCATTAGCCCAGTATAGGAGGGAGTTTTGCCCGCTGGGTTCTCATCCCCTCCCCTGCTAAAAAACCCTACACGCATGCGAATTATTCAAATAGTCTGTATCGAGTCGAGTGGATATTAAAACCATCGACGCGTTACAATGGACAGTTTAATTATAATGAGTTTGTTTATTTTTGATCAACTGATTAATTTATTATTATAACATGCACTTATTAGACCATCTGGACGATTTATTCTAATGTGACCAACCTGGTTCGTTTCTGTTCAAGAAAAGCCACAGTACCTCGGTGAGTTAAGAGGCTGGCTCGCTAACTTTTGCAAAGAACACAACGTATGGTCGTTCGGATGGGACGAAAAACCCAGGTCGCGTGCACGTAAAAAAAACGTGGAATTCGAAATAAGAGTATGCCGTAATGACGCTGTCTGGGCCATTTTTCCTCATGGCACACGGTACAGCGTACGTCCGTCTTCTTTGACGTATTCGATACAAAAACATAGGACGTAAAACACAATTTTTATTTTATTTTTAGCCTAAGAAACTTGTGAGCCTATGACGCGTTTACTCTGTTAAATACAGTGTTTATTATATATTACAGGTATGAAGTTTGTGTATGGTAATAATCCTCTAACTAGAAGTAATCGTCAAACAGGAATTGTATACAGTAGGTGTTACGAGGTAGGTCTAGTTTCTAACTAAATGTATTTATATGCTCCAAATAACAGGAGGGGTTGGGTGGTCGAATAGTTAACACGTGCGCGCTGTATCATACAGTCTGTCATTGAGTCAACTGGCGGTTGTACGTGACAAGGAGTAGGGTCGCCTGTCTAACCTCGTGGGTTTTCTCCTGGTTCTCCGGTTTCCTCTCACTGCCAAATAACCCTACGCGCAAGCGAATTATTGAAATAAACTTGAACCATGTGTTAGTCCCGAAATGACCTAGTTTGTGTCGAGTGGACGTTAAACCCCTTACTAACAAAAAATGTCCATTTCGGCGCTTGTCACCATATTAAAAGTGTCCAAATCAATGTATTTACATGTACTATATGAGCATCTTTATTAACGATTTAAAAATAGACACAGAGCTGATAATAGTTTAAAATAGATTTATTAAAAAATTAATATATTTAAATTCTCTGTCAATTACTTTATTCTGAGCGATGTTATGAGTGTTCGAAGTTTTGACCAAAATGTCTCGATTGTCAAGCACCATTGCTACAGTAATTAACAAAGTCTCGATTATTTTCAGGTGTTCACCAAACATTTCGACAAGACTGATAATAAACTTGGAGAAGTGCTGTCGATTGCTGGATACTTTAATAAAGAATATCTGGAAGAAGCTGAACATATCTTCAAGAAAAACAACAATGGTGGGGGCTTGGCTGTCGTCTATTTTATGCTGGGAGGGAAAAACCAATATAATACTGATATGAGTGAGTTTAGACATGTGTTTTATTTATGCCAATAATTCTAATGAACCCTCGAGGCATTAATTTAATGCAATAGGGTTTAACACCATTCTGCTCCGACTGGGCTAATGAAGACGGGCATACACCATACAGTGTGCTATAAAGTGTATGTCTGATCACAATTTGTCCCCCGCCTCCAACCCTAACATTACTCAAGTGACCATACAAACATAATAATGAATCATTGTGTTAAAGGTGGGGGTGGGGTGGTGGATGGTCGAATGGTTAGCACGTGCGCTCTGTATTATAAGGTCTGTCACTGGGTCAACTGACGGGATTTCGATTCTCCGGCTGTACTTGACAAGGAGTAGTGTCGCCTGCCTGTGCAACCCCGTGGGTTTTCTCTGGGTCCTCCGGTTTCTTACCACTGCTAAAGATCCCTATGCGCGAGCAAATTATTGAAATAAAATTGAACCATATGTTAGTCTCGAAATGACCTATTTTATTTGTCGAGTGGACGTTAAACCCCATTTTTCTCTCTCTCTCTCATTGTGTTGAGGATAACCGTAAACTCTATTCCTGTCATGTGTCAGATATTTAGGTGGTATGCATTTTAATTTTTTTTTTACAGATGTTCCAATTAATTACTTTGAGAAATCCTCCGTACGGAAGATTAAGTCTCCACCCAGCCAGGTGTTATCAGCTTTACGCTCAGGAACCGCTAGATTAAAAATAATAACAGGAATTTCTAGAGATTAGTATTGGGCATTACTTAAGCGAGAATGAAATGTTCAAGACAGGACTAGACTGTATACTTATAGTGCCGACCAAGCTCGGAAGGATGGACGAGGCAAACAAACTTATTGCAATGCAACCAGCAAATAATGTGTCTGTTTAAAACCATTTGCAAATGTGGGCTAAAGCCAAACTACAATTAATGCAACGGTATACCAACTGACACTTCTAAATGCAAATGTGGGCTAAAGCCAAACTACAACTAATGTTCTGATGCAACGGTATACCAATTGACACTACTAAATGCAAATGAATCCAAAGATATTCCAAATTCGTTAACAACCGATTTCCGCACAGCATCATCCTTCTATCAATTTTCTTTATGTATTTTGTGGACGAGGCATGTGATAGTTGCTGTCATATTATTGGACATTTTTTCGATCTTCATTCAGTAGTTGATGATACTGGAAATATACCAGCTTTAATTTATACTATTTGTTAATATATCTGAACACTAACAAAAATATGACTCAGTGTTGTTAACGATGTGGTTATGACCAGTAAAAGCAGTTGTGATATTTTAGCTCAAACATTTTCTACCTCGCCTTAATATCATCTATACGCCTCAGTGAATTTAAAAGGTTTTCAGTCGATCCTTATTTGTAGATTAAAATATTTCATTAAAAATGTTTTATTTGTCTCAACTTTGTAAATATAATGTTGTTGAAATGTTAAACGTTACCCATTTATTCATTGGTGAACTGACTCATTTCCATCACCCTCGCAAACCTTAAAATTGATTACATTTCCAGGAGTCACCACTGATACGTTCTGCCCACAGCAGGATTTGAACCCCGTGAATACTGCTGTTCTGTTTTAAAAATAAACAGTAGCTAGCTAGTTTGGGATAACATAGTATATATATTTTGCATTTATTAAAGATACATTATGGGAGATAAAATAAAGAGCTGGCAGTTCTCACTATAATAGTTAAAAACTAGATAATGTAAAGGCAATTTGCTGCAAATTTCAGTCAAATTGATTCACTATGAACCGAGAATTAAGTGATTGAAATTTCGGCCGAGCCTCGATCATCATTACTAAAGTCCGTACGGTAAAAAACATAGTCTCGATCATCCATTTCATAATTAAATTATGAATGAAAGTCGGGCAGCAAATGGATCATAATCCACTAAATCTTGCAGGCTAGCGATGCCATCGAGAGTTGATTATGGTCTGGATAAGTTAATTAATAATTTAGATATTTAGATAACATTTCAGGTCTAACGAAAGACCTGCAATTGAGAGATTTAGCTGCTGCATAATGTATGTTTACCTTTATAAATATGACTAAGATATATTTTTGTATATTTTACTGGGTTATAATGTATAAATATGATATATATTACATAAGTATGACTAGGATATATTGTAAAAATAAATATACCAATATTATACTCTCAGTCCATGCTCAATTTGTCATGTGACTGACAAGGCAAGTGTAACTAGCCTTTCTAATGGGACGAATAGCCTACACAGTGTACGCATAGGACATCTTAACAACTGGAATACGATGACAAGTAGGTGGAAATCACGTCGTCTGGGCCAAATTGTCCTCCCTAGCATCGTAAACATGACCATAAAACATAATAACCATATGTCACTCTCAAAATAACCGGTGTATTATCTTGATGAGATGTTAAACCCCACTCTATTACGTTCATGGTAAAGGACGGTGGCCTGACAAGGACAGCTGTCTAGTCGTTCGGATGGTACCAAAAACCGAGCCCCTGTGTACACACTGGCGTGCATGTTAAAGATCCTTTGGCAGTTGGAATTTGATATAAGAGTAGGCCTTAGCGTCGCTGTCCGGGCAAAATAAATAGGATAAGATTAAATGAAATTATTGTGTATCTACATTTGGAATTGAGATTAAACAGTTCACCAGGTCCTTTGGTAAAATTGACTTTCATTCACTAATGTCAAATGAAACATAGATCAAATTTGAGTTCAGTTGTTTCACCTTCCTCCTCGTTACGAGACGGAAATACATATCTAGCGAATTAAGCTTTGGGTGTGGCGTTGACATATTTTTTGAACCGGGTGTATAAATCAGTCACACTATTGCTCTCTCGCGGTGACTGGGAATGCATTACAAATAGCCCTGCATCCCCCCCCCCTCCCCACACACACACACACGACCAAATTAGCAGATATGCACACTGTTCTGTAGCACTAGCTTTCTTGGGTTGCCCTTGGAACATCAAATTTACGTGTTGCTTTAATTTCTTCTGATACCATGTTTCATCTTGTGGGCTAGATGGTTCAGGATTAGGGCTGAGCAACGTAGACAAGGTTTGTATTTAAGGAGCCGTATTTATTCCAAGTGATGGGAAGTAACTCTTGTACAATGTAGGCCTACACATGGAGTCAGACAACTGAGTAATAGATTACATTATGTCACGTTTGGTGTATAGTTTCATTACATTTTCTGCTTTGGCTAAGTAGAGACTTCGATCTGATTGGTCGAGAATTTGGAACACAATAACTCTTCTTCTAATTGAGGTAAAATATTCCAATGTGCTATAGGTGCAAAACTTGACAGAGTTCGAGCATGCGCATGTTCCAACAAGATGGTTGATACTTTGGAACGCGATAACTTTGAATCTAATTGGGTGAGAGTGGTGAAATTCAGAATATAGATTCGTTATGTCAAAACCAAGAGCAAGAGTCAAAAACAGGAAGGCGTTCTGTGCGCATCAGAAATCACTGCAAGAAGTCAACTGTTACGGCGAACTGGATTAAGACTCTGTATCATGTGGCGTTCTGTCTTTCAAACGAGATCGAGTTTCTACACCTTGGGTTTGCTATGGAATGCTATTATTTTATTGTCAAATCAATGAAACAAATTCTACATGTATACAGAATGATATTTACAACATAAAGACGATGATTGTTTTCAAAACAATTGTAAGTCAAAATAATTCGCCGATATCATCGATTGTTGATCGGCAGATGGCCGACGATAATCGATACCTGTAACCAGTATCGATTGCCAACCCTTAACATATCACGGTTTGGTGATTCCTGGATAACAGGCTAACATGTCCTGTTACCTCTAATAGATCAATAAATCTGCCTAAATCTCATCGTGTCATATAATTATATTTGATTACTATGCTATGTGAATCATTGTTCTCGACCACGCCAGTTGGTAACAGGTGTAAAAACAATAATAGCACAACGATGAATTTTCACATTTCTAGAAAAAAGTTATTTTTGTATATGGGAATCAATTTTCTGGCTATTTTGTGTGTTTATAAAGTTTATTTGTCAGGTAAGTTCAGTTTTTGATGTCTCTTTCTACACAGTTATTTTAATAAGTTGTTTTTTATTTATGAATTTTCTTCATCAGGTGCGTTTAAGTTGAATATGGGTATTATAAAAATTATGTTTAATTTTACATAATTTAAATATAGACATTATTTTTTGATGTTTTTTTTTATATAATTCGTTATATCTATTAATAAACTGATACAACATTAATCCCTGGCGGTTGCAATTCGATATAAGAGTAGGCCATAGTGCCACTGCCCAGGCAAAATTTCCCTCCTAACACACTGTATGGCGTATGCACCTTTTTCATTAGCCCAGTCGGAGCAGAACAGTAGGACGTTATAATAAACCCAATTTCATTTTGTTACATGGTACTTTTCTTCTGGGTCAATTTAAATAACGGTAGTGAAAATTGTAGTCTTTTGATTAGCTTCGAATTTAAATATTCGGATAGACGGAAACTCTATTGCAGTGGTTCTCAACCCTTTTTTTGCCCACAGCACACAGCACACGTTGGAACACATGAAAAAATAGCGGCACACCTGGCTAAATATATATGAAAAATATCTGAATTTTGCAAAATAAAATCATGTTAAGTCAGACGGAATACAACCGTAGACAGAGACTAGTCATAAACACATAAATTGAATCAAACTAACTAAAAAAACCCACAGCTATGAACTTATCAGTAGATACCAGTGAATACTCAATTGGGTTCACGTGGTTTTTCATATTTTCTTAGTGTGCCGTTCAAAGTTTCGCGGCACACTGGTAGGGAATCACTGCCCTATAGTATTACAGGGGGTTTAACGTCTACTTGACACAAGCTTTGTCATTTCGGGACTAACATATAGTTCGATTTTATTTCAAGTAGACGCCAGTGAATACTCAATTGGGATCACGTAGTTTTTCACATTTTCTAAATTCCGCGGCACAC